GGGGGGGGGAGGGGAGGGAAAATAAGGTTCTCAAGTCGTTTTATCGGAAGAAAGAATGGCTGACCTTTTCCTCGCGTTAGCGGAGAAATGAAAACAAGAGGACAATGGCGAAGAGACACGGCAGGCCTGCTTGCTTCGCTGACAGAGAAGTTCGCACGTTCGAGGAGGACGAGTTCGGGACTGTTGGAGATCGGGAAACGTCTGAGAGTTTTACTTCTCCAGCCGGGGAAGAGTTCCTCAGAGGCCAGAAGAGACCAGGTGGGAGACGAACACACACAGGTAGGACGGTGAACGTTGGTTTCAACGTCCACTTCTCCTCTTCTATTTGCCGCCGCCTTGCAGCCAGCGTTTGTTTTACATTTTATTAGGACTTTTGCCAACAATCATCGATAGAAATCTGTATCAGATGTTGCATTGAAGAGCATATTTCTGATGGAATAGAAGAGAAAATACGTCCAGTTACGGAACGTTATTATTTTATGTTAAACAATTCGGAAACTTTCTATCAGTGTGATATAGAATTGGTAATAATAATAATAATAATAATAGAAAGGTAATCGTATGATCTTATCGAACGAATCGGAAAGAGGAAACTATTCTAATCTAGATTAATAATCAGAAAAATATGCAAACTATTTTTTTTTTTCTTTCAAATATAACAGTTAATCTTTATTCATAAAATTAGAATTTTATGAATTTATAATTAAAATACGGTTCAACCCGCGAGGCTGATGGAAACTGATACAAACATGAAGATGTAAAATGTATGATTAAAGTAAAACGGCATTCAATTCTAATAAAGAAATATTTTCTAATTTCAATGAATAAACTAACAAAGAAATACAAGAAAAAAAAAAAAAAGGAAACGAAAAGAAAGTGTTATATATATATAGAAAATACATATAGATTTAATGAGATTCAATTAGTCTGATTCAATTAGTCAAATCAGACAACATGTTTTATCAAAAGAAATACTTGTAAGGAAGATTACATGAATAGTTTTTGAACTGAAAGGAAAAAGAGGAGAGTTGATGTGTGTCGGAAGATTACTTAACACCATTGAAACGGACAGAAACGCTCGAACGAGCATCAAGTTATTCCAGTTCCGCTCGAACGTTCCGCAGACCGCGCAAAAGCGCATCGTACCGTTTTACAAACAATTTCGGCACTTACTTCCGATAATAAATCGTTTTTAGCTGTCGTTTAGCATGCTCACGGAAGTATTATGAATGAAATGAATGAAATGAACCGGCGCACGGCAATGAGTTTCTTCAGTTTTTAAAACAGGCAATTGAGAAGAGAAGAATCGACGTATGTCAGAGAAGAAAAATTAGAATCTTTTATAATCTTTAGAATAAGATGAAGAATTGTACTACTAGAATTAGAAACAGACCAGACATAATAAATGAAAGTTTTAACGTCTTGTTAGATAAATTTATAAATATATAAATTTATAAAATAAATTATAAAATAAATTTATATATATATATATATATATATATATATAATAATTGAGAAACCTTTTCAGACAGTTTCTCAAATCATGTACATTTCACAAAGAAATGTGGACAAATCTCTCTAGTAGAATTATATTATAAATTCAAAATATCTGTTTTATTGTATCTGAAATGATGAATGATTAACGACTTATCATAATTGCGTTAAATTTGTACGTCCATCAAGTGGAATCAGATATCTCTTTTCCGCCTGGTTCTTACCATACAAGTAGTTAGTCGGTGAAATATTTTTCAAATTGCCCGAGGCAACGAAAACGCGATCACTATTAGCCCTTTCTCCGCTCACCATCGAACCTGAGTTTCAAACTATTTCCTGCAAGATTGTTACAAAATTGTTGTAAGAAAGGATTCACTAGGAACGATTAATCTAGCTTGGAAAATATTATAAACATATCACTCGCTAGTGCAAGTAGAATTAATGAATGATCTGTTTCAGATCAATAGATGACTATTATAAAAGGTTTTTAAGAAAATAATAATAAAGAAATATTAGCAATTGGACGATAATCCAAATTAAAAAAAAAATGACAAAAATTATAAATAAAATAAAAGAAGAATATACTTTTCCAACTAAAGGTTGTTACAATATTACAGATCAGATGTATCACCAACGTGACGTAAGATTCGAGAATTAAGCGAAAGTTTCGATGTCTTGCTGTGAAACATCTCCTTCAGCATCTGCCAAATTTGATTATCGTTTCACCGAAGGTTGCGTAAGAAAGTATAGAAAATACACACTTTCTTGCTGCAAAAATAAAGACATTATTATCCAATATTATTATTGTAAAATAGAGATAATATTCTTCTTACATTTTGTAATAAGAAAAGTCAGTCAAAAATAAATTATAGCTACATCTTTCAGCAGTTAATTGTATATTTATAATGGTATATCAGTAATACCAAAATTTAAAATTTTGCACAACAATAGTAAGAAGGCATGCACTTTCATTCGAAAACTTTTTATGTTCTTTCTTTGCAAAACTTACAATTAAGACTTTAATTAATCCTTGCGTCATCCATTTGCGATCCATTTCTTACCTTTTAAGGAACATGGGTAGGATCAGACTATCACAATGCTCTTCCTCGTATGATGCTCGGAACAAACTTTCTTCCTTCACACGGCTATAGTACACTAATGTCCGTAAATATGGTGGTATCACCTGTCTTCCAGAATTTTTTAACATAAATCTATGATACAAATTTTAAGAAGTCAATATGTCCCAATTTTTAATCCTTTAACTTCGAAAAAGCAATTTTTCATTCTGTTACAATATGATTTTCAAGAGTGAGCTATTTTAAAATTTTTTAATATTGTAAGAGAGTATTGGTAATTTCAAGAAGGTAAAGAATATAAAAGAATTTTAGAAGAAATTAAGAAGAATTGATTTCTGAAAATTTAAACGAGATTGTATCGTGATAATAAACTATCAGAATTATTACACAAGACAACATCTAATTTTAAATGATTCTTATGGACGATAGTGTATATATAATGTATAATCAGTACTTTATGCATTCGCACCGCGTTTCCTCCCTAGAACATTCTGAATTCAATCGATGAAATACTGCATTAAGTTTCTTCGCCTAAAATTATTTTTAGAATATTACTACAGATGATCATCATTGTCGAGTAATACATATTAATCATCAATCCGAAGAATAATAATTCAAATTTGTATGAAATTACATAGAACAAACCATAAATAACTACTATAATTATAATTGCAACTTTTCATTAGTTTGCTTCATTGTGTAATACTCCAGACAGATGATCAATGTAACAACTTTCTCTCTTTTGGAAAATGTAGTTTCACTAGATGAAAATAAATTTAACATGT